ATTTAGCCATGTTATCAGAGGAACTATCTATATTATTCAAATGATTTTTAAGTTTTCTTAACTGACTCAAAGTTCTCTCTATTTCAAGATCATGCACTAAAGGTTTTGACCTAGTTTGGCGAGTTAACATGCATTGGTTCCACTAATCCTAAACAGTGACACAAAAAAAAATAAAAAATAAAAAAAATAAATTCCAAGTAACAATAAAAACAATAAAAACTCATAAAGGGTTTACTAAACCGAGGCTTTTTATCCCTTAAGCGTCTTTGTCCTCACTGCTACTTCTTTATACTTGAGAAGAAAAAAATTAAGGTGAGATATCAGAAAGTCCGAAGACTGGTAAACCAAAATAAACTAATTTAAAACTAAATAAAAACTAATCTCCCCTGCAACGGCACCAAAAATTGATGTGTGTCTAATTTTACCACTCACAATAGGATGATTCCGTGTAGAATAGTGCTATAGAAAGAGCTGTCGAACCCACAGGGAGATGAGATTTATTTCAGTCTTTAATTTCGTTTTATGGTTTACAGGTAACTTTGTTGGAAAGTTTGTTGGTTGTCACGATTAAAAACAAACTAAAATTAAACCGAAATAATAAACTAAGTAATCAGAGAGAGAAAATCTTAGGGCTTTGACTTCACCACAATCATCATAGACGATCAATTGAATCAACTCTGGGAATTTAACCAATTATGTTTTCAAATGAATTGAACTCAATAACATTCGTTCAATTCGGATTTAAAAGAAATATGTTTTACAAAATTCAGTTAACTATAACCTATCTGCGGTTAGCGCGGACTATCCACTTACCTACTCTAACTACTTTGTAAACAATCCACCTTTCCTAAGCATAGACTATGAAAGCATTCTTTTGCAAAAAACATTAGAACACCATTATATGACCTCTATTCTTGTGTCCGGTAGGGCTACGCCAGATATTGCACAACAAGATAGGTTGAGAATAGATAATAAACTATTACATCTAAGACAAGGGGATAACAATTTAAAATCTACTAAAGTATGAAAACCAATTGAGTTGTCTCAATTGCTCATAGTCATATAATCAAGAAAATATTATATATTAAAATAAAATCTCAGAGTTAAAACAATCAAAACATAATACTAGATTGGGTTACATCAGTGCCCTAAGAAAGGAATTAGCTACTCATGACGATGTCGGTGTCATTTGTGTTGGAGTTATCTCCATCATCACGGCTGACACTTCTCTTCTTAAGATCTTCACTCTCAAGGTAGTAGAGACCCTAAAAGTCACCACGCTATCAGCTTTCTGAACACCACCGTAAAAAGAACTTAAAATTTCGAACCTCTTCTATCAAGGCTTACGCCTTCTTTTATAGAAGAAAATAAGGATTTGATGGGCTTTTAGGTCTTCTGGCCCATCTGGGATGAGATAAGGCTAATAAAGAGAACAATCTCGTACTTTAAATCTGCCATGTCATGGAAGGCTCGAGCTTTAGGGACAAAGGCTCGAGCTTTAAGGTTTAGGCTCGAGCTTTAGGAACAAGGCTCGAGCTTCTCTGGATTGATGCTCGAGCTTCAAGAATTGGTGCTCGATCTTCACTTTGACACTTAGCCAATTCTCTTCAACTATTTTCTGAAGCGTCTTTTTCTTTAACACTTAGAATATTTTTGGGATTGAAATCTGTTAACATTGCTCGATCCAAGCTTCATGGGTTTGAGCACTAGGTACTAGGCTCGAGCATTTGGGACTCCAAGCTCGAGCTTCAATGAATGGTGCTCGATCCTAAAGGTGAGGTACGAAACCTGGGAGCATAGCCTTTCAATTAAAATCAACTCTTCAACTTCTGATGCCTTATGCTCGAGCTTAAGGGTCAAGGCTCGAGCACCCTTAGGTAAGGCTCGAGCACCTTAAGTTAGGGCTCGAGCACTAAGGTACAAGGCTCGAGCTTTAATACCTTGTTGGCTTTTCTTCTTTTCTTTGTTGTGATGCTCGAGCCTCAGCACCTGGGCTCGAGCTCTGGGGTTTGAATTTCTTCAAACTTTATCATATCAGCTCTCGGCTTGCTCTGAATGACCGGCAACGACTATATAGGTTTCGATATTATCATAAAGTCTCGATTTTAACCATTTCTCTGGGAAAGTACCGTAAACATATATTAAACATAAATCAGTCTAACTATGGATAGAACTATTACTTTAGGCCTTAACATACGTATATTTAGGGGCTCGAATATGCATATATTCAGCGCTCATCAAAACCCACAATTGTAGCACACATTAATCCAGGGAAATGTACTACTTGCAATCATAAACATGGACTATCAAACACAAACATGGATTGTCTTCCTATCTAGGTATTGAAATGCAATTACACTACAACTACACTAAGACATGAAATTAAACTAATTAACTAAGGGTGAAGAACAATACATCAAACATAAGTATAGCCTATCAAATTAATTAATAAGAGTAACCAATAATAACCATGCATTGACCATCACTAGATTCATAATTCAAATACACATAGACATGCATCAAATCTAGAGAACCTAGTGTAGAGATATAATCATCCATTTCATCACACATAGACATGTAAATAAATTGGAGAATTAATTGGAAGAATTAAACCATACAAATCATGTATAAAATCAAGATCCATATAATCACAAGGTCAATACATTATTTACAATAAGAATCCCCAAAAATAACAAAGGTCTAGAGTTTAGAGTGCAAGCCTAGGGCTTTTCCTAGCCCCAAAAGGGTAATTTAGCCACTCAAGGATGTTGTCTTGCAACCCTCAAGGACTATCTTCAAGCTTGGATCCATCTTCCTCTTGGTCTTCTTGGTAGAAACCTTAGGGATAATGAATATATTGCCTTTTTTCTTCTAAAGAACCCTAATCTAGAAAGAGAGAATTTCTAATGTCTAAAGTTCAATCTATGTAAAACTAGCTAACTCCTACAAATTGGTTCATTTTACTTTGTATATAAAGCCATTTGGGTGCATAACAAGTCAGAAAATAAGCCTTTAAAATATCTAATCACACAGCCCAAAGTTAGGTGAAGATTGGAAGCGCTCGGGAATTAAACAGCTCATTGCCAGCAGGATGGCGATTGATCGCCGGCTTTAGCGATGGATCGCCAACCACGGTGATCGATTAACCTCATCTGATTAGCTGGTATTGACGTGGCATTGCGATGGATCGCCAATGTCTGTGATCGATCGCCATTTGGAACGAATGATGAGGTGGTAGTCTTATCCTTTACTGAGGTGGCTGCGATGGATCGCGAGTCTTTTGCGATGGATCGCCAGCTCTGGCGATCGATCTCCACTACTCCAACGCAGTTTTTCTGACTTTTTCCATATTTTCTTCTTGACTCCAAAAAGGGCTTAATAGGCCGTTTTTAGCCCGTTTGAACCTTATTGACCTGAAATAGACAAAAACACAAATTCGAACTAAAACGGGAAAGTAAGATAGATGAATGGACTAAAATACCCTAACTTAGGTGTTAAAATGCGCAACATTTGAGCACTTATCACACTCCCAGACTTAGATATTGCCAGTTCCTAACAATAAACTACGGAATGAAAAGAAAGAAATGAACAACTATATAACTATGAACTAGAAAGCAATAAAAGGATAACGCTAGTTTCGTAGGGATCACGGTTGCATTTAGCATATGTAATAAGCCTTTTAAATCCCTAGGTTACCCCTAGTGGACGAGTGAAGTCTCGTGAAGGTTTCCAAAAATGATACTCACAAACATCAAGCTCTTCTCACTTAAGAGGCACCAACATTCCAAATAAGTATTGAAAGAAAACTACCTTAAGTATGCCATTTTTCAACCATCTCTAAGCAATTTCTTAAAATTTCAACAAGAAGTAAGCAAATATGGTCCTCCACACATCAAGTAAGATAATCATGTAAATCAAAACAACTCTAGAAAGCATGGTACAATGTAGTGATCTCCTAAGCTTTCTAGAAGATCCATTTGACGATTGTTAGGTCAATGACTCCCAAACCGAACGGCTTTAGGGTATTAGGTGTAGAGATACCCTTAAGAACTTACAAATCAAAATAACTCTCATCTAATCATTTCCTTACTCCTCACCTTTGGCAAGAAGTCTTCACTTTTTTTTATTTTTTTCATTTTTTTTTAATTATTATTTTTGAATTTTTATAAACTTAGAGTTTGAGCCCTTCACCTTTTTACGCAAAAATCTATACTTAATGAGGCACGATTCCCGGTTACTCAGTGAAAAGGGTTTGTTATTCATCTTGTCAAGAATGAAAGCTTTCAAAGCAATACTAACTCAATTAGGATATAACCAAATCAATAATCAACTAAGCATGTATCTCACAAATGAATGTTAGTGTGTGCTTGTGTAAGTGTAGAACTTTAAAGTCGAATATCAAAACAATCTCACAAACAAGATGATGTAGACCACAAAAACAAGCATGATATCAATCTTTCGAAAAAATTTGCTCCTAAATGGCATCCAAAAGGCATACAAGGAATATTGAACTCTCAAGTCAAACAATTTTTAAATTCTAAGCAGCAGAGACCTCTAAAGATCAAAATCAGTGCTAAGCTCTTAAATCATATCACATGCATAGAAAATAAAGTGCAACATGCTTAAACACCCCCAAACTTAATATGTACATTGTCCTCAATGTACAAAAATGCAACAAATAGTGGAAAGATTATACCAAATGGGCGTAGCATATAGAACTCGACAATGAAAAGCTTAACATTCGAAGGCGTACCCCCAAATTTAGATTCCAAAAACCTGTCTAAAAATAGTCACACTAGCAACTGTCAAAGCTTATGCATTAGTGATGAAAATGAGAGATAGAATGGTGAACTGGGAATGAATGGGCATAAAATCATGGCATATAGCAATATCAAACTCAAAATATCCAAAACTCAAAGTCAAAATATATCGATATCCAAAAACCAATATCTGAAAGTAAATCCACAACCAGAAATCCAAAACAATGATCCAAAAATCAATATCCAAAACTAAGAATCCAAAATCATGCAGAATATATTAAAACAATATAAATCCCCAAAATAGCAATGTAGCAAATAAGTATCACAGCAGTAAATGAGTAATAGAGAGAGTGGAGTAATCATGGAATGACATCCGGCTCCAGCAGATCAGTGATGTGATGAAGCATGTCGGTGACCTCGCCGCGGAAGCTAGTCATATCAGTGCGGATCTGTGCAACATCAGTCTTGAGCAATGCAATATCTCTCCTAGCATCGGTGATACCTCTCTTAACATCGGCCACTTGCTGAACCATCCGGGCATCAAATGTCGGAGCTCATACTGGAGCTGAGTAACATCGCCTCGGAGACTGGACGCGGAGTTGGCATGCTGAGAGGATGGGCCTGTTTGAGTTGCTGGAGGCGGAGGTGGAGCTGAAGAATTGCCGGTCGGGAACTAGGAAGCTATGGGAGGCTGGGATGTGCCGGAGGTGGTGCGCTATCTAGATCTGGGCCTGGAAGAGGTAGGTGATCCCTTTTGAGATCCCTCATGTGAATCTGCAGTCTAAAACTTTTTCAACGCAACCTTTTTTAGACTGGTCTGATAGGCATTGTAGCTTTTCTTCCATTAAGTAGCACCATACTTCCTCTTATCCTTCTTGATGGGCAGCTTTGTCTCCTCTTCTGGGTCAAATGGAAAGCCCTGGTCGAATAGGATCTGTGTAATCAAGTGGAAAGGGTAGGGACCAGGATTTTGCTTTCTCATTCCATCTGAACACTAGATTATCCCAATACTTTTGGATAATCTCCTAGATAAGAGCAGGAATCGAAACCCAGCATCCCTGATTGAAACTGTACAGGGCCTTCAAAATCTCCTCTTGCCTCTAAGTATTATGCCCAGATAAAAGGCATTGCGGAAAAGCACTAAGTCAATAAATCATAATCTGGATGGAATGTCCATCTGCTCGGCATAAGGGTTGCCTAAATAAGCTGTCTGAGGAGAGAGAGATGCAGCCATATCCGTATCTAAAGGAAACTCTGTAATAATCGGATATAAAGGCTGCTCAGACTCGGTAACCACTGAAGACATGTGGGGGTATCTGCAGGCAATCTCTATAGAGAATGTAGAAATGGTAATATATCGGCCATCCACAATAGTATGGAAGATCTGTCGATCATCCTCCTCCCGTCGGAGGTGCTGGTAGAACAATGCAACCAACCAGGGATACACCTTACCGTTGGTTAGCATAAGAATAGCTGCGATGCCGTACCGGGTCATCTCATCAAAAGCCCACTTGGTTTGCTCAGACCGGGCAAAGAAATCAGTATCAAATGTGTGCTTCGACTCCTGATCTCTCTCAGAAAAATAGGGGTCAAGAACTGCTCTGACTATGGGGCCCTCTGTATTCATAGATGCGGGACCAGAAGAAAATGTAGATGATGATGCAATCGCCTCAGACTTTGTAGAAGAAGATTCCTCCTCTGGAGAAGGAAGTGGCTGTCGAGGCCTGGTAACTCTCTTTTTAGCAATTGAGTTCTTTCACTGTATCTGGAAAAACAATATATATATAAGTCAATGCATATGTATAGAAATAAGGTAAGTTTCTGAAATGAAAACACTAAGCATGTCTGAATCAACTAGAAACAGAGAATACACAGATATGGACATGCCTGTGCAATAAATTAACAAGAAAGCTTCAGGAATAACATTCAAACCATTTTTCAACATTTAAGAACTTAAACATGCTTCAACAGATTAAGAATGGATCATGGTACAATAAACAATCTCAAACATGCAACATGGTGCAATGGTAGCAAAGAGGTTACAGAAAGGAGACCAAAATGACAAGTATAGGATGTGATGTACATAGAACATGCAACATGTGTTCACAAACCTAAAACTAAAGAAGATTTTGCAATTTTAAGACAAGTAGACCCTAGGATGACATCGTATCATTTCTTAAGCAAGAATGTCTACAAATTCAACATTTAAGACCAATGGAGTAATCATAGTGATATGGAGGAAACAAGTCATGGCAAATATCTATCTAAAACTCAAGAAGCATGTACATCATGAAATAAAGACCAAGTGAAATGCACAGTTGCAAAACTTTTATCCTAAGCATGTTATGATGAATAAGTTCAAAAGATGAATTCTAAACATGGTATGCAACCTATGTAGCATTTGAGAAATGATGCGCAATTTTCAAGTCAAACTCCATTCACAAAAATATCCCGTCCTCCATTTCACAAAATCAATAACCTGCGGTCGCTCAAGGCTCGTGACCCCCTCTAAGCAATATAGAGACAAAAATGATCGCTTATGACTCGCGACCCCTTTCTAAACAAAATAGAAGCAAGGAATGGTATAGAATGAGATAAATGAGATTCTTACCCCTTTCTGGATAAAAAATAATGACCGGATAAGAACCTCGGTCCAAGCCCTTACAAGCTTTCCAAGAAAGGACCACAAAGATATAATGCAAGGATGATGGCATTTCATGTTCACGTTCCTAAACTTAACCACAATTGACAATTTGGTTCAAGTTTAAACACATTTAGGCCCAAAACAACATTCTAATGAAGCAAGATAACATTCCCCCAAACTTATTTTAAATGACATTTCAAAGTTCAATTCAAGTTCACAAGTGTGTACTAAGGCCAAAGAATGACAAGATATCCTAGAATTTCAATTTGAACTCAAAACATCCAATTTCCCCCAAACTTAGTAAAAGATCAAGAAATTATGATATTGCAACAAATATTTATTCAAAAGGGCAAACATGCTTCCAAAACCAATAATGTGACAAAGGTATGTGCAATTATGGACAAAAGCATTTACAAGCAAGGAAACTTGCATTTGATTCCAAGAAGCACAACATTTATTCAAAGAAAAATCACATTAGGCTGATTTCAAGCTTATTAGGCAACATCATAACATTTGAATTCAAAAAGTTGGGTTCAAGATGACATTTCAACACATTTTTCAAGAAAAGTTCAAGTTCTCAACAATTTAGCTCAAAAGATATCAAATAGACGCCCTCAGATGGCAAGAATCAAGAATTAAACAAGAACAACTCAATAGCATTTGATACATGCATTTGGATAAAGAATAGATGAAATGGAACAAGTTCAACTCATTTAAGGGCATTTTCGACAACTTTGGAAATTTTCAAAACTTCGGTTCAAAATTGAAATTTTTAAAACTTTGGGGTTCAAATAGTCACATGCATTGTAGATACTCATCATGACAAGAATCATGCATTGAACATTCAACATTTGAAGGAATTTAAAAGCTTGACTTCACATTTCAATTCAAAGTACAAAATTTATTTTTCAACTTTTTGAAAACCAAGAAGTGGTGCACAAATGACATTTCCAACATTTCAAAGATCATTTTTCCAAATTTTCACCTTAACCATGAGCATAAATCAATTTAAGGCCAAAACTTTTCGAAAAGTTCAATTTCAAAACATTTTCATGCATTTAGATTTGACTTTTCATTTTCAAGACTTAAGAACACAAGACTTTGCATTCAAGTCACAAAATTCATGCATTTGAACACTTGGAACAAACATCCATGCAATTCACACTTAGGCCTAACAAATGAAATGAAGTGGGGAGCATGCCCCAAAAATTTCAACTCAAAGGATCATTTACATCAAACAATTTTTCAAGAAATTTTCCAAGTTCAAAGCAATCTCATTTCAACTAACAATTTCCATTTCAAACAATTCATGCTTCACAAAGTATCTTTCTAATCAAACATATCTCAAACACAATTCGACATTTCAAATTTCAATTTCAATTTTTCAAATCCACTTTGCTTTTTAAGCAATTTAACTCAACAATCAACTCTCCAATTCTTTTCCAACAAAATTCCATTTTTCAATTAAATCTACAAAAATACCCAAGTTCCATGTAGAGATTTTTAAACCAAAACACAAGTTTATTTTCCAAAAATTTCAATATTATTATCTCTCAAAACTTATAAATGCATTAAACTCAATGATATAATTCTCAGACAAAGACAAACATAGCATGTATAAACATCCATTTAATTTCATAGTCCAAATCCCAACAACACAACATCAAGAAAATTTCACAAAATCCATTCATGTCGCAACCCAACAACAACTGCCCATTCTCCATTTTCACAACACCACAACCACAACAAAACCAATGCACAGCCCATCCTCCTTTCAATACATCACTGCCCAACCTCCATCCATAAAATCAACATCACAGTGTATCACAAACAAGTCCCATAGTCCATAGTTCAACTTTTAATTAAAGTCCCAACAATCAATTTCTTTTTCAATTTTCAATTTCTTTTGATTTTTCAGTTTTTCATTTTCTTTTTGGTTTTTCAATTTCAATTTAAACAAAATGCAATATAAACAAATTAAACTAAGATGCAAATCTACACAAGGAAAAATTGAATAACAACAAAAATAAATGAAAAATAAAATCCAAAAATGAATACATACCCGAGAGACGAAATCAAAGAAGGAAGGGAAGAGAACTTGAGAGATTCCGGCTGAAATGTCGCCGGAAAATGCAAAGGATGCCGGCGGTTCTCCTTGGCCTTAGTCGGTCGGAGAAAGGGAGATAGAGAGAACTGAGATTAGAGGACTGAGAGAGAAGGAGAAGAGCTAAGCCTTTTTGGCCAAGAGCTCTGCCGACGACGAGATCACGGCTGCGCAAAGAGAGGAACTTGGGGCTTCGGGAAACAGAGAGAATGAGAGGTTTGGCCTTCGGGGTTGTGGATGGTGGTGAGGGATGAGAGGGGTTGTGAGATGGAAGGGAGATAGGGGCAAGGGTTTGAGAGCTTCGGTTGAGGGAGAAGGTAAGATTGAGAGATAAAGAAGAGAGGAAGGTGGAAGTCGAGAGGTTTAGAGGGAGAATGAGGGAGGAGAAAAAAGAAAAAAAAAGGAATGAAGGAAGAAAAAAAGGTAAGAGAGAGGAGAGAAAAAGAAAGATTAAAAATTAGGGTTGGTAAGCTAAACGGCTAAAGCATTTTTGAAATTTGATCAGTCGCTTTGGCGATCGATCGTGGGTCGACGATTAATCGCTGAATTATTCACGATCCATCGCGAATCCAAAATTGAATTTTAGAAAAGGAATTTTTGGCTCTAGTGCGATCGATCACTGCAATCGGCGATCGATCGTCAAGTTAACGAAGGATACTCTGGAAGATTGAAAATTTTGAGGCACAATGGCGATCAATCGTGGAGTCCAACAAAGGATGATACCGAGAGGTGATTTTCAGGTAAAAATGGACTCTGCAATTGGCGATCGATTGTGGAAGACACAAAGATTGTAGAAAATGCAGAAAAATACCCGAAAACTCAAACAAAACACATTGAAACTTATCTAGACGACGCAAAAAAAATAAAAAATAAAAGAAATGAGGGGGGAATAGGGTTTGAAACCCTACCTACAAATGCTAGTGTTTAACGTCTCTGGTAAGAGGTTGGGCTACTTAGTTCGGATCAAAAATCTTGTTTGACATCCTTTTCTCAATGGGATGCAAAGAACTTTGAATTCCACCCAACAAACCATTTACTAAGGAACTTGTTCGATTTGATTCAAGAAAGCTTGATGGACTATTGTCAAAACTCAAAGATGGACTTTTAGGCTTCCATGCCTTTTCAAACTTGACTTTTGAAACACAACCTTGGGAAGAATCATTGGAAGGCAATTCAATTGATTTTGGTACTTCAACAAGAGATGAAATTTCCACTTTTTCAACACTTTGCTCAATGACATTGACATCTTCATGTTTATCACAAGAGTTAGGGGTCAGGTTGAAGATATTTAACTTTACTTTCATGTGGCCAAAAGATATTTTCATTAACCCCGTCCTACAATTGATATTAGCATTGGCGGTGGCCAAGAAAGGATGGCCAAGGATAACGGGAATTTGACTCTTTGGATTGGCAACCGGTTCCGTGTCTATGACAACGAAATCAACGGGAAAGAAGAATTTATCAACTTTGATCAAGAAATCCTCACTGATTCCCTGGGGTTTTTTAATGGAGCGGTCGGCTAGTTGTAAAACTACTGACGTAGGCTTCAAATCACCCAAACCCAATTGAGCATATACCGAATAAGGAAGAAAGTTTGCACTCACCCCTAGGTCCAAAAGAGCCCTATTAATGACACGATCACCAATAGTGCATGATGTGGTAAAAGAACTGAGGACTTTGACCTTTGGGAGGGTGTTGTGTTGCAAGATGGAACTAGCTTGCTCGGTTAGCAACACTTTTCTAGGTGCTTCAAGTCCTTCAAGAACTTTGCATAAACCGGTATTTGAATAATGACGTCAAGTAGAGGAAGATTCACTTTAACTTACATAAATACTTCAATTATTTCATTGACTTTACCTTGTTGTTTCTCAAAAGATGAAGATTTTTCAAAGCTTGCGGAAATGGAGCCTTTGGCTCACAAGGTTTTTCAAAAACATCAGATGATGATGGTTTCTCCTAAATGTGATCTTTTTGCCTAGGTAAAGGAGGAATAGGATCGGAAACGGGATGGGTGTCAACACTTGGTTGCATCGGTTCACTCTCTTCATTAGGGATATCAACTTTGTTATCAATCACTCTCCCACTTCTCAAAGTGGTAATCGCATTCGCTTGCTCAAGTGGAGGACATCCCAATGGGTGAGTTGTTTCCACCACATATTGAGGTTTAGGTATAATGACCCGGTCATTTTTCTTCCTTTCATTTTTCTCAGATTTTTACGGATAAATTTTTTCTGTTGATTTTTCTTTTCTGAGTTCAGTTACTCGTCACTTAGTATCGTCTCGAGTGCTCGAAAATAGTTTCCGAGACTCTTTCCTTTGGATTGACAACTTCTTTAAAGGACCGCGTCATTTCTACATTTCTTGTTTTTTGACTTTATGCACTTTTCATCTTTTTCCCCGTTTGTCACTTTGTTGGCATAACCTCACTTTTCGTGTTCGAAGTTGAGTTTTGACTTCACGAGTTTTCATTCCAATTAATTTTCTCGAAACGCGTAACTTTACTTTTGGAGAAAAGCTCGCCGGTTGTTTCTTTCTCCCGCATGGGCGTGGATGAAAGGATTCTTCAGAAACATTAATGTTTCTTGGGGTATTTTTTATAAATATCTTTTGAAGATATTTTATTTTAGGGGTTTTTAAGAAAATATCTTTTGGAAGATATTTTTATTCTGGGTAGTTTTGCAGTTAACCTTTTTTGTAGGGGCCATTATGTAATTAACGAAAGTTATTGCAAAATGCATTTTTTTGAGTCTGAATCCTCGTACGGGATTCATTTTTACTTTTTATCGAGTCGTGTACTCTTAGGATTGTCTTCTGGTCATTACTTGCAGTTTTCGGGTTTCTGGCCCCAGTTGCCGCCGAACTTGTTCGGGGCATATCTCTCTGTATGGGACTCGGTTTACGACGCCGTTTCTTTCATTTTTCATTTGTTTTCATTTCGGTTCTTTTTCGTTCACAATGTTTTACTGTTTAAGCGCGTCTGCTCAAATTTCATTTTTTTGGACTTGACGAGACCCGTTCGGGGCACTTTTTGAGATTTTCTATAAATAGGGGCTTGAGAAAAGTAAATCAGATATTTCCTCTTCTATTCCCCACATTCCAGACCAGCCATGGCAGCCCAAGGGGCTGCCACCTTCTTTCTTCTTTTTTCGGCCACTTCCCTCTTGAATTTTGCCGTAGTGCCTTAGTGTTTATCGTAGGCCTTGGCGAGGCGGACCTTTCCCCCTTATTAGAAATGTTTCGACCATTTTTGAGTTCGGGTTTTGAGTTCAGGTTGGGATTTTGGTGTGGCCTTGTGAAGGATTGTTGTTCCCCTCGTTTTCCCCGACATAACCCCGAAGTATTGTCAGATTCGGAGCGTTTCCGTTTCGGTGAGGATTTGTGATTTCATCACAAAATGAGGTAGGGGATGTTTTAAGTTTATATATATGTTTTATTGATTATTTTATAAGCGTATACAACTTGTAAGCATGCTTTTATATTAATTATAGAATTTAATTTTATTATTTTCTAGGTGTAAGTTTTAATTCACATGGTTGTAAAGAGCTTGAAATTAAATTGTGGCATGCTCTTAAATTAGGCCTTGATATGTTCATTGACATATATTAAATTGAGAGTATTTGATTAAGTATTGAAACTTTTATTTAATTATTTTCTTGAATGAAAATTTAATTCACATGGTTGTAACTTGCATAAAATTAACTTGTAATGTGATATTAAAATAGGCATTGGTATGTTCTTTAACATATGTTAAATTGAGAGCATTTGAAGTTGTTTTAAAATCTAGAGAAAATTAATTAATTAGGTTAATTAATTTTATTTTAAGTGTTTTATTCACTTGAAAGGATTTATGACTTGATATTGTTAATGAGCTTGGCATGTTCTATCATATATATTAAATAGAGAATATTTAGATAAGTTTTGAGAACTTTATTTAATTATTTTATTGGCATTGAGTTTAATTTACCTAGTTGTAACTAGTGCATAATTAACTTGTAATGTGATTTTAAATTAGGCCTTGATATGTTCATTAACATACCTTGAATTTAGAATAATTAAATGAGTCTTGAATACTTTATTTAATTATTATCTTGCATGAAATTTAATTCACCTAGTGATGTCTAGTGTAGAATTAACTTGTATCATGGAATTAAAATAGTCTTGATATGACCTTTGACATATTTGATTTGTAGAATTTTTGGAGTTACTTTATAATCTTGAGAATTTAATTATTTAAGTTAATTAAATTCCCTTTTATGCTTCCATTGAGGTAATTAGGCATTGATGTTGTATTCTTACTTAATTTGTAGTTCGAAACTTGTTATATGATTACATGATGGTATTCCATGAGTTAAAGTTATGATTTAACTTTTAAGTATTCACATTTTACTTATATGACATTTAATATGCCATTGTAGTTTGAATGTCTAGGGCATGGCTTGCATGTATTCCATGACTTGGTTGTGCGTGGTAATTAATTTTGGTGCATTGTGTATATGTAATATACTTGTTGCCCAACTTGATGATTTTTGGAAAGCTTGTATGGACATTGAAAATTGTTACAGCTAGGGCATGGCTCTAGTACGGTGGATGAGAGTTCCCTCTATTTCATATAGTGCGCACTGGGTGGTACCCTGAGGGCTAGTAACCCAAAAATACCAATATAAAGGTTTTATTCCGGGTTTAGTGCGCACTAGGTGGTATCTTGCGAACTAGTAACCCGGAATCACTTGCTTGGTCTTTGAGACCATATATCCTTTGTCTTTCCACCACTAGTTGATTTCTCATTCAATTCCTAGTTGTAATCTTGGATTACTTTTAACTTGTGCTTGGATGCATGATACTTCATTTCTTGCTTAGTAGACTTGGATTTGTATACTTGTATGCCATGTATGTCAACATTACTTAGTACACTTAGAAATGTATACTTGAATATATATGTTGTACTTTCATTTCAATATTGCTTAGCGTACTTAGTATGCACACTTGTATATTGATGATTTACTTTCGAGATAACCTAGTATACTTGTGTCTTGTATACTTGTCTTAAGTGCATTTCAATATTGATTGTATACTTGTGTTCGTATACTGATGAGCGCTGAATGTTGCAAATTCGAGCCCTTAAATATACATATATTAAGACATAAAGTGATACATCTATCCTATTTTATACTGATTTACGTTTATTTCGTGTTTTTAGGTGATTTCACAACGAAGCTGTTAAAACCGGGCTTTTATGATGAAAAGATTGATAATGAAGTTTACTTGCGTTGTTGCCGATCATTCAAAGCAAGCTGAGAGCTTAAATGGTGAAGTTTGGGAGAAGTCAAAATCCAAAGCTCGAGCATAAGGCATTGAAGATTGAGCCTTGCACCTTCAGGCTCGAGCTTGAATAAAGGGTGCTCGAGCCTGAACAAAGGATGCTAGAGCCTGAACAAAGGATGCTCGAGCCTGACCAGAGGGTGCTCGAGCCTTAACCAAGGGTGCTCGAGCCTTAACCAAGGGTGCTCGAGCATGAGGCGTCGGAATTTGAAGGAATTGATTGCCAAGCTTCCAGACCTCGTGCCAGACCTCAGGGATGGAACATTAACACCTAAAGCTCGAGCCTAAAGCCCTAAAGCTTGAGCCCAACACCTTGGGATCGAGTACCATGAAGAGATGATCGAGCACTATCAACAAAAAGACGTTCCGGACAATTTTTTCCCCCAAAGCTTAAGCATCAGCTTTGAGGCTCGAGCAATAATCGAAAGGATCGAGCACTAACACTTCAGGCTCGAGCATGGTTGAAAACTCTGAACCCGCTTCAGTATTTTAGCCATAACTTTTGACTCGGAACTCCAAATTGAGCAACTCAGCTGCTCTGGAAAGAAAACTCGAAGCCTAAAAGCCATCTCCAAATTCGCACTCTAAATGGGTCAAAATCACGTTACAAAATCGGAACAATTTGCTGGCAGTTAATACTCGAGCCTGAACCCAAATGTTCGAGCCTGAACCTTAATGCTCGAGCCTGGGACTCTGAAGCTCGAGCCTGGACATCCTGGAAGTCGTAAATACATTCGGAAATGACCAAAAATCATATTTCTTTGTTTCC